CCGGCCGGGAGGGCGTGTGGGGGGCTCGCCCTCACGGCCACTCCGGGTTTCTCTGTGGGAAAGTGCAGAGGAGCTCGCGGAGCCGCCGTGCCTCCGCTCCACTGGACGCTGCTCCACATACAGTACATGCAACCCGGAGAGCCTGAAAACACTCATTTTATATAAGGGCGCCTGCCATTGGCCCGCGCTGTGACGGGCGGGCGGGGCAGCCAATCAGGAGGCCTGTTACACCCAAACACACGCACCCATACACACATTTTACAGAGACACACAAAGATCATCACATTTTCTATTTTCTCATGTTCGGGACCTGTAGACAGTCAGAGAGGACAGGTAGAGGGAGGCCACGCAGACGGAACCCAAAGAAGGAGACCCCGTCGGCACCAAGTGGCAAGGTTGGAAACTGGTGTCCTTTTGACTTGGGAATAAACTAAAACTCCACTGGGCATGGAAGTGAAGGGTTTCTTCTTGTTTTTAAATCGCTGCCTGGTGGTACCCCATGAGAAGGACGTGCATTGTGTTATGGTTTTCCAGCCTGACCTGGCTAACAAGTGTCTAAGGAAGGCTTTTATCAGCTTGGATTTCTTTTTCTTCCTCTTCTTTTTTTTTATAAATCAATGGGTTAGCCATCACTTAGGCCAAAAGAGTGCAAGATAAGTTTATTAAGACCATAATGCGTGGACATCGGTAGTGCTGCATTCGTCGGTAAATTAAAAAATGTTCATGCAACAATACACAGACATAAAGATAAATTAAGCACTTTGCTAAGAGCCCATCTACTTTTAGTTGGTGGACAGTAATCACCTGTGTGGCATGAAAGCGATGCTGTAAGGGAAAATAATGCATGAAAGACTGCCTATAGAACCGCTTTCCTTGAAAACATACACTTTTATTCAATATCTGCAAGATCTGTATTTTTCATGTTCCTTTTTAGTGTGAGTCAAAAAGTATTGCTACTGGAGTTCCACTTCATACATGCACAGGTTTACTCCAAACAAAACATGTTTAAATACGTCTCTTCAATCATTGGATCCCTATAGACAGGCTCTCTTAATATGCTTCTCTTAGTCTTGGTTAGGGTTCCTTTAAAAAAAAAAATTCCAGGCAAAACAGTGACTTCCCGGGGAATCTGGTGGGCCAGTTCAATTCAAGGCAGAGAGGGCTGTTCAGAAGGTCAAGGCCACTCTTTGGGGGGGATTCCAACTGCGTAATCTTGATCATTTGTTTCAAAGGACACTGGGAAGTCATAGGGATTTATCGTAAAAAGTTTTAAGAAATTTAAAAACTGCATTGGTGAGAAAAGACTGGGAAAGTTGTGCCAAAGAATTTTTTTTTCATCGTGACAATGCACCTGCTTCAATTGTAGCAAGGGTTGTCCCTATGAGAATTTCATTGGGAAGCCTAGCCTTATCCAACTTCCAGCCCTGATCTTGCCCTTTCGAACTCTGTTTTGTTTCTGAAACTAAAAAAAAACAAAAAAACATTAGGGAAGAACACAATTTGGGTCCTGTGAAAGATGCTAAAGCTGCCTTTTTGATGTGGTAAGAGAGCAGAATTCTTCTGGAAGGGGTCAAGTGATGTAAGCACTGCCTTCAGATGGGTGTCTATCTAGGTGATGAAGAGGATGTGTCTGGAAACAGTCACTTCATATTTTGATATATTTGTTTAACAAAAGTGGCTGTGATTTTATAACCATACTTTT